TTAACACGCTTGAAATGAAAATTTGGGTGAAGATTATTTGAGCTATAAAAAATGGGATTACAATCATAATAATAAAACGATGCGTGTTAATAGCCGTTGGTTAATAACTTAACGTTTAGGTAGTAAGTATTTTGTGTTTAGAAATATTAAAGTAATGAATATTGTAGAAATGTTAATATTGGTATTAGTTTTGGTTTAAATTATGAAATCACTTTACAATTATGCCAGTAACCTGTCCATATGTGATTTCCAATTGCATCTGTATTAGTAGGCTAACTGAAAGAACAAAAGTATTACCGTGGAGAAGAATTCCATCTAGTGTTCCAGTTAGTTTGATACAGTTTATTTGGTTACGGGGAGATTTTCTCAACCTCGTTTTTACTTGACCGTGATAGAATCTAGTAATACTACTAATACACATGAATGGTTATCAAAACAAAATTTAAATACGTGATACTTATATGAATTTTGGATCGATAGCTAGGAAAAATCGTTAAACATGAGTGTGTTCGTAAGAGACATGCTCAAGACTCAATGTTCTGATCTGCCATAGAATATTTATTTTTATTTATACCTACCGGCTGATGGTGCATACAAGTTAGTTGCAAGTATGCAGTTTGTCATAAGGCGGAATACGATTTAATTGAGATATAGTGGTTATAAGTTATTGAAATCAGTTAGGCCTGTGTCATATTACTAGGTGATGTGGTGCTGCAGGATGTATTCGGCTAAATAAGCTTTTACAAGATGATTAATAGTGAGAGATGCTCATGTGATTATCAGGAAGAACACAAGTTGTAACCAACGGGAGTACACTCCCAACTCATGTCTATGATAATGTCTTGAACCATAGTCAGTGTTGGGGTAAATTCGACATTGATGTTTTCAGTTTGCAGGAGATTTGCTCGACTGCTTATACTGATTATTTGCATGAACGATTGTGTCGCTAAACCATCAATTTGACTGACAAGGTTTTGAGATATTTACTGAATGAGCAATTGATAAAGAAACATACTGTAATCATCTGTAGTGAATGAAGATAAAAGAAAAACAACACTAGTGATAATTATAAGTCAATTTGCTGACCGATTTTGTTAATAGTTTCATTAATTTTACCAAGCATATTACGTGATTGTCAAGTCATGACAATGCTTTATGACGATATCCTGAAACTATTAAGTTTAACTAGTTATAGTGTTGATTAAGGATTAGTCAGTGGAAAAATAGGTATTGTTGCTTTAGGTGATTCGAAATTATCAGAAATTCATAACGTTAAAGAATCCGAGACGCCTAATTTAATTCTTAATTTCAATTCAGAAATATTCGTTTAGTGTTAATTCTAGTAGGCTACGGAGTTTTGATTTCAAACGTTTGTTTAACAAAAAGCTACCTGAGGATTTAGTTATTTTACTAGTGCAGTTGATAGTACCTAAATTTTGTAAGCTTATTATCTAAACTGTTCGCATTTTGGGCTAATCCATAAACCCAAATACGATTAGCAACAACGACTGTGATGGGTTTATTGATAAATGTTAAAAGTGATTCAGATGATTTCTAAATTTAGAAGAAATGAAGATATAGTGTAACGTATGTACGGGCCAGGTTAACATGCAGGTTGTTGACGCATATGACAATTTAAAAATAATAAACATGACCAAATACATAATTTTAAAGACTGCTTGTGAAACTTCAGGCAGGAATATGACGCGTTATAAACATTCCATAAGAAGCTACTGCATTTAGCCTAGGGACACTTACAAATATGTGGCACAAAAAATCATCCAGTAAAATGGTTGAACTCGCCTGGATTGTTTATGAAGATTAGATTATTCAGTGGACGACATATAGAACGCCATTCGTGAGGAGTAGTAATGATCCAAAAGTATCCAGAATAAAACATGCAGTACGGAAATTAATTCCAGCGTGCATGATGCTGTTGAGTTTTTTGCCACTCGCTCGGATCAAAACAATCGAATGAATCCAGATAATTGTGTGGTTGCCATTGAACGAGTCATTTAAAATGACCTTGTGATTGCAGAAAACTTATAGCTGAAACTCACCGTAGGTTTTTGGAGAAGTGTCATCCTTGTTGTTTAGCGATGGAACTCGAAAATATGAAACTAGGCGGGCAGTGGTCCCTGTTGAATATTACCTTATATCATCTATTCATATTAAATATATTGTTCCTTCTCTAGCCTAACCTTGTTCTTCATCATGTATTGGTAATTGATAAGATACAGTGAGTTGGTGTAGACGATGGTGTGACTTCCACATAAGATCTTATAGATTAGGCAGTTATATCATGACAAATCTACAATTTTAGGATTAGGTCTATTATTAGACCAGTACTAATATCATAGTAGACCATAATTCAACATTGTGAGCACGACGTCGGGCTCACTACAAGACCATATCTGCATCAACAAAAAGTTCAGGAAGACGATGGATGATGTGAGAACCATGAGAGGAGCTGATATAACATCAGATCATCAATTGATGGTCGCCAAGATGAAGTTGAAACTCAAGAAGCACCGGACAACAGGGCAGGCAACATTACAAAAGCTTAATACGTCATTCTTCGGGACACTGACAAACTCAACAAATTCAAGATACTCTTCAGCAATAGGTTCCAGACCTTTTATGATCTATTCAATGGAGAAGGAACTGCTGTGGATAGCAACTGGAAAGGGGTAAAAGAGGCAATAACTTCAACATGTCATGAGGTCCTGGGTCATAAGAAGCACCATCACAAGGAATGGATCACTGTTGATACATTGTATAAGATTCAAGAAAGGAGGAACAAGAAGGTAGCAATCAATACCAGTCAAACAAGAGCAGAAAAAGCCAAGGCACAAGCTGAATACACAGAAGTAAACAAACAAGTGAAGAGGAGTATCAGAACCGACAAACGTAAATATGTGGAAGATTTAGCGACGACGGAGGAAAAGGCTGCAAGAGAAGGAAACATGAGACAACTGTATGGCATATCAAAGGAACTCTCTGGAAATAACCGCAAACCAGGACGACCAGTGAAAAGCAAGGAAGGCGAGGTAATCACCAACATTGAAGAGCAACAAAACAGGTGGGTAGAACACTTCAAAGAACTCTTGAATCGACCAGCTCCACTGAACCCACCCAACATCGAAGCAGCACCCACTGCCCACCAACAATTGAAGAGATAAGCATGGCCATCAGGCAAATCAAGAGTGGCAAAGCAGCAGGACCAGACAACATTCCATGACAGGCACTGAAAGTAGATGTAGCAGTAACTGCAAAGGTACTCCACATTCTCATTAGCAAGATTTATGATGAAGATCAAGTACCAACAGACTGGAAAGAAGGACACCTGACCAAGATACTAAAGAAAAAAAATCTCAGCAAGTGTGATAAATACATGGGCATCACTCTTCTCTCAATACCGGGAAAAGTCTTCAACAGGGTATTGTTAAACAGGATGAAGGACTGCGTAGACGCCCAACTTCGAGACCAACAGGAAGGATTCCGTGAGGATAGATAGTGTACAGACCAAATCGCAACTCCTAGGATCATTGTGGAACAATCAATTGAATGGAATTCATCACTCTACATCAACTTCATTGACTACGAAAAGGCATTTGATAGCATGGAAAGAACAGCACTATGGAAACTTCTTCGACACTACGGCGTGCCTCAGAAGATAGCCAATATCATACAGAACTCATATGATGGATTACACTGCAAAATTGTGCATGGAGGACAGTTGACAAAGTCGTTCGAAGTGAAGACCGGTGTTAGGCAAGGTGGCTTACTCTCACCCTTTCTCTTTCTCCTGGTGATCGACTGAATCATGAAGACGTTAACGTCTGAAGGGAAGCGCGGGATACAATGGACATCTAAGATGCAGTTGGACGATCTAGACTTCGCAGATGATCTGGCACTTCTATCCCAAACGCAACAACAGATGCAGGAGAAGACGAACAGTGTGGCAGCAGCCTCAGCAGCAGTAGGTCCCAATATACACAAAGGGAAAAGCAGGATTCTCCGATACAACACAGAATGCACCAATCCAATCACAATTGACGGAGAAGATTTGGAAGATGTAAAATCTTTTACATATCTGTGCAGTATCATTGATGAACAGGGTGGATCTGATGCTGATGTGAATGCGCGTACCGGCAAAGCAAGAGTAGCATATTTACAACTGAAGAACATCTGTTACTCAAAACAACTGTCAACCAACACCAAGGTCAGGATTTTCAATACAAATGTCAAGACAGTTCTACTGCACGGAGCAGAAACCTGGAGAACTACAAAAGCCATCATCCAGAAAATACAGGTGTTTATTAACAATTGTCTACGCAAAATACTTCAGATCCATTGGCCGGACACTATTAGCAACAACGTACTGTGGGAGAGAACAAACCAGATCCCAGCGGAGGAAGAAATCAGGAAGAAGCACTGGAAGTGGATAGGACACACATTGAGGAAAGCACCCAACTGCGTCACAAGACAAGCCCTCACATGGAATCCTGAAGGCCAAAGAAAAAGAGGAAGACGAGAGAACACATTACGCCGGGAAATGGAAATAGACATGAGAAAAATGAACAAGAATTGGATGGAACTAGAAAAGAAGGCTGAGGACAGAGTGGGTTGGAGAATGCTGGTCGGCGGCCTACGCTCCATTAGGAGTAACAGGCGTAAGTAAGTAAATATGACTCAGAGTTTTAAAACAATATAGTAATAATTTTACACATTAAACTCTCACGTTTTTTGTATTACAGAGCACAATATTTGCAAGGATATCAAAAAACTTCACAAGCTTGAAACCAATTGTTTGTTCATCAACCTTCGCATACAAATCATCTAGAGAAATTGCTTGCTTCGAAGCTTGGGTACAACTTCTTCTAAAGATACATTCGAAAGACAGGCTAAGTGAGGAACCTATATCACAGGGAAAAACGTTGACCTTGTAGTTCACCGTCACAACCAGAACGGAGTTGAATTGAATCATTCAGTAACCTTGAGATTTTTCCGCTTTTCCGCTCAGGGAAGCCTTGCTTTGACCTTGAGATCACTTAAGTAGGGCTTCGTTACATGGAGCCTCAGATAGTACCGTTGTTGAAGCTTACACCATTAGATAACCCTCCGAAGTTCTTAATAGTAAATGAAATCCCGTGGCTAACTTATATTTGTTTTAGCCTCTACAGTCTGCTGGAAAGTTTGTTAAGAAATTAAGGGAGTCCGAGGCCAATGTTGTGGACTCGCAGGTACACCAATGTTTGTGTATCATATATCCATTTAGGCCAATCGTTCCGGTTCTGATGAGGACCAGAGAGCATTACAAGCTGGTCTGTTATATCTGGCTCTTACTGAGCCAGATCCTAGGCACTCGTTTTGTACGGATATTGTATTGACCTCTCGTGACAACTTAACTTATGTCCTGTCAGAAATGACTCGCTTGGTTGCGGAAACGTGGCCAAAAATGACCCAAAGTGTTCGATGCAACCTTATATCATTGTTGGGGGAGTTTATATCGACGAAGACTGCCAGTGTTGAGGTGTTGATGCTCCACGTGTATCGAAGAATGACAAGTAACCCACATAATTTGTACTAATTTTCTTGGAAGCTGGTGATATTTCTCCTCAAAACCTGTGGCTCATAGACAGCATGGCGGATCTTCTGGAAAAAAACAAGTAATTCGGTTATACTCATGAATTATGTTCACTAGAGATTGGCTAGGGAGTTTGGAAAGACAACCGTTTTTGCTTCCCCTAACTGTATATACCTTACTCCGGCTTATCCCAGATCATCATTTATCTCCTCAACAGGCTTCACTAGTCACTTCAAATCCTTCTGTCCATCTGTCCAAGTTACGACAGAAAGAATTGGTTTTGGTTGAAGAGCTTGTTCGGAAGAATGTGAGTTACTAAATACACTAGTCTTTTACTGTTTAGTTCTATTCCCTGTATTTATATGCGACAGCATCGAGTGATTTTAAATGTCCTCCTGAATGTATTAATAGATTTGTATCCGCAATTTATTTGACTGTTTTCTTTCCATGCTTGAGTCTTGGTTTACTCTATTATGATCTGCAATAAACGTTGCTGTTTTTTTTGACATGTCCCTACTTATTTCCATACACTGAATAGCTTGTTGTTGTTGGATATCTCGTTGGGTACTGGGGTAACTGTAATAGCTAAGTTGATCCTAATGACTCTTCTGTACAATCTTAAAACGCTTTTATGGTATTGCGTGCAAAAGGTCAATTGGGAGACAGAAAAACAATCGAAAGCTGAACCAAGTATATATATATATATATATATATATATATATATATATATATATACGTAGTGTTCCGCTCTTCAGCACCGTAAGCTTTCTTCATGTAGATATTTTCAAAACACCAGAGAATGTCATACCTTGATTTGTATAAGTTGGGACATATTATAATACATTTCTTCAGTCTATTGGTATTCGTTATGTGGTAGTCAGAACAGCAGTTTATATAACGAATGCAGTTTCGATCGTTCCTAGCTTAAAAAAATTGGAAGAAGTGAGCGAAAGCATGAAGTCTTTCTAATGGGATAAAATCACATTAGAAACTTTCCTATGTCTCACTTGGTGTTCGTACATAAAAGTTGCTAAGTTATTCAAATAACTAGGGTTAAGTTACCATTAACGCAACTTTAATGAACTAGTTGTATTGATGGTGTCTGTTGTTGATTGGCCATTAAGGGGAGAGCATACTTGTAAGTTTTGGTCACAGATGTCTTAGAAGTGTTGCTCACATCCGCTGGGATGACCGGGTAAGTAATAATGAAGTTAGATGCAGAGTATTCGGGAATGATGATAAATCAGTTGATGAGGTCGTGAATCTTCATCGACTGAGATGGTTGGGCCACGTGTTATGTATACCTGGACACCGATTACCATGGCGCACAATGCTGACTAGTGTTGGGGACGGTTGGGAGAAAGTTAGAGGCAGTCAAACCAAACGTGGCACCAGTCCATGAAGTCACTAACATCTGGTGTGGGTCATGTTGGTAGACGCAGACTACTTTGTCGGGGTCTGCGGGACTTTCGTAACCAATGGTTAGAGACTGGGTGACATGGCTGAGAATCGGTCACAATGGCTTAGGTGTATACACTCACTTTCTTCCCTCAAACTATGAGATTAAAATTACTTTATATCTTTCTTTCTACGAACTAATTCTTTTTTCCTGTACCATATCATTATATGCAATCTTTCTTATATATATTACCACCATTGAATTAACTACTTCTGTGAATTCGGTGTTTATCTTGTTGTGCTAATGCGGTATGGCAATTTGGACTGATGCATATATGTCTGTTCCTACGTCGTAGATGACTGACTGATTGTTCATAATTGTTGTCCACTGCTAAGACTACCAGTAATTACTCGTTAAAGGCTGAAAGGTTTACATGTTCATCATCATTTTCCTATTATTTAAAGTAATGGAGTCAATAACTTGCTACTTCTACTTTACATTTTTCCTCTAATCGTGTCAGCTCCTCTAGGCAGCCGTCATCAGCGTAAGGATATAAGATATTTTGGTGACTACCTGTTGTCACTTTCACTGCTCTTGAGAAGTGTAACCGATTTCATTGGTCGTAAAGAAGTCATATGTTTTTGCTACAGTTATGTCACTAAACGCATTTTTTCCCATTACTGTAAGTATTGTTAGTACGCGTCCATACTTCTGTAGGTTGTTTTTGAATCAAGGAGGCAGTCATCGAACTCGATGTATTTGACCCCGTCTGATTCCTTAGATACTGTCCTATATGTTGACCATTAACGATCATGATTACTGACGTTTGTTATGTTAATTATCTCCTACTACTGACTAAAGCTGTGCCATGTAAGGTCATTTGACATTTATAAAATGTTCTGCTACATCTTTAAATACCAACGACATGTCTTCTCAAAGGGATTTGGCTGCTATACTAATGTGTTGTAATTGTGACTACACTTGACTAGTTTTGTGTTAATAAGTGTATTTTGAAATGCTTGGTATCGAGACTTTCTTGTTTCACTAGTGGTTCTTCGTCGGATAATTTCAAAGTAATTTAATTTCACAAAAGTTAGTTGGAAAATAGGAAATGGAGAGTTTTTGCTCTTCATTTGTCTCGTTTCGGAAATTAGCTATTGAAAATGTGAGATATATTAAGACGCAACAGAAATGTTACATAGAGACATTAACTACTGTGGCGCTGTTCGGTCTCCAGAGATTAAGGCTTCTGTTATTTATTAAGATTGTTGGAGTAAACCTTTATAGGTGTTTGAAATTTGGGTGTTATATGGATCTTGTGAGTCTTATCGACGAAAGTGACGAATGCTTAGCTACTTTAAAATAGACAGTAAACTGGCCAGCATACAACCATCATAAATTTTGAGCCACACAACTGCATAAATAGTTGACTTAGAACGAAATATCCAAAAAATTAACGAAGCTCTTATGTGCAAATAAGTAAGTTTACTATGTTATGGTGTTTATAACTACTCTTAGTATTTATTATGTCAGTTGGCTAGTCATCATCAACATAGAGCCTGGTATTGGTGTGCCTTCGTCCAGGTTGTCATACCATAATAGCACAATGAAGTGAAATTAACACAATTGATGGCAAAAAAGATCGAAATAATGTAGTAGAAATGACAGGAAGAATGTGCATTGAAAATGGGGTTCAAAAAGACACTAAGAAAGTATGATGACGGATTATTGGCATTCAAAATCGAGAGAAAAATAGAGGGGAGGATTCATCCGTGCTATTGTGGTAAGCCTTGAGCATTAAGGTTGTCAATTCTTTCGAAGTACCTCATGTTTCGTTGCAGTGTACGTATTTGCTAGAAAAGCCATATCCAACTCTTGTCTTACAAATTATTAGATTGTGTACTCATTTCTCATCTATTACTTAATACACGGCTATTTCTATGATCGTTTTCTTTTTTTTTTTGAGTAATTTTCTCGTGATCCTTTATCAGGATAATCATTTCTAAGCTTAATCATGCTTAGACATTATTTACCGGATACTTATCACGACGAGCTTGCTAAAAACAATTTCATTTTGACTTGAGTACGTGCAAGTTTAAATGGAAACCTCTTTGTTAATATCTCTTCAACACGCCTTCATAAAGTTTCCTTTACATGGTTAGGACTTGTGACTTGCCAGGTATTTTCAATAAATTCCTTGCCGTTTTTGTTACAGTTTGACCGTTGCGCCCAAATTGGCCGTGATTTCATTCGTCTCCTACATGGCGTCGCACGTCTGGAACCTATGAAGCGTTTGTGGGATGATATACTACAAAATATTTCTTCTTTGTCGTCTCATTTTTCAAGTAATGTTAATTATTTCTTTCCTTATTCAGCTCAATATATTTATGCAACTATATAATTTTATTTTATCTTGTGTTAATTTGTTTCATATCCAGCCACTCCTAGTATTAACATACGTTGATTAGACATAGAATGTCAGTAAAAAAAGACTTTTCAATATATTGCATAAATTTTGATTGTTTTAGGTCCCGCTGAAATTTTGGAAATCACCACACCTCAGTGTTTTACACAGACCCTTATACCACATGAAATGGAACAGTGGGTTCGTTGGATGATGAAAAATGTTCATTGTGTTCCGAGAGTTCCTGTTCATCGTTATCAAGACTTTTTCCAAGTGAGCTCAGATCTAATTAATTCATGTTTTCCAGTGTGATATATTAATTTATTTTATCCTTTTTCCACTTAGTTCGGGTTAGCATAGTCACAGTTTAATACCCACTTTTTTGAATTTTATTTTAAACTTGTTCCAGAGGAAATTCTTTTCAACTCCAGAAAGTCAGAGTCTTCGTGTGTGCCTTTTGCGTTACGTTGTGACTTACTTTTATCCTGATAATGAAATGTTAGCCTCCACCTTAATACCACGATGGAATGTGGTTTCTTGGATTCTTTCTCAATCTACAGTAAGTGTTCTGTTCGTATCATAAATTACCATAACTTTTTCTCATCCGGTTTCTCGGATCATTGCTATAAATATTATTATTTAAAATATAATGAATTTGTATCTTTAGGTTGACATCTGTCGATTTTAAGTTATTTGATGATTCTTTGTACTGAAGGTTTTCTAAAAGCGACTCATCAAAATAATTTATTTCATAATCTCCGATCATATCCTCTTTGATGAGTACAAATATGGAATAAAGGAACCACTTATGTGTTCATAATCCTATGATTTTTCTGTATGAATAGGGTTTGTAATGGTCATCGGAATTGTTACTTATAACCTACATTAAACACAGCTTTTTGAAGATACAATATTTGAATGGAGACAGTGGGTCAAACAAAACTGTCTCATTAGTCTTTTATGATTGTTTTTCAAGTAAAATAGCATTATTATTAAGACTACTTAGTTAAACTTATCGTTTGTTTCTGAATCCAAGCACAACAATGAATTCATACTGAAAAGTTTACTTTCAGGTTTTTTAAACGAAATTTATTAAGATACACAGGCTCATTAACATTATCTTAAATCTAGCGTGAGGTTACCGTTTTTTCTTCAATCAAATCATTTTAAAATCCGTTTTAAAGATGTTTTATGCCTAGGTTACAGCTAGCTGTGCCAAAAGTTCAATTAGTGGTTAATTAAGTAGTCATCTTAATACATGTTAAAAAATCTATCGGTTATTTTGCTATGGTAATATCCTGTTCACAGTTGGAAGACAGAACTTATCTCGGAGAATTTATTTGGTTTGGTGGACATAAGTAGGTGGAATCTTGAAGACTCGGAATGTGTGTATCATGTGACCACTTATACTAAAATCTTAGTCATGTGGATTATGATCGATGGATATTATGTCAAGACTACCTTCATGCTTTTCTAGTGTGCATAGTGCCATGAAATACATTTTTCGTTGTTTATGGATAACAATTAGTATTATCTCCCGACTTCATTTTGTTCCGATTCGATTTTCTTCTAGATGTTATTCTCATCACGTTAATATCATTGTATATTTATCTCTTACTAGTGTCCTGTTGCCACTGTTAATGCTAAATTGGCTCTGTTTTATGATTGGCTCTTTTTCAAACCAAATGATTGTATAATGAATTTGGGTACGTTTATGTGCCGTTTTTACTTATGAATCACAAAATATAATTTCAAGTGTTTCCATCTTGTTATCCGTAATTAAATTAAACTTCGATATTTTGTACGGACTTACTATATTTGTTTTTCGCCTTTCTCCTGTAGCTCAATGCAACTTACATTGTCTCGTTGAAATGAAGTTGCTAGGTGGAAAACTGGTGAATAATTAGTTCATTCACAATACTTCTTAAGTGTAGTTTTCTTTTGAAGGAGTTCAAACGAAAACTACCAACACAAAAGGTTGATATTTCAGTTCGTTGGAGCTGACTGACAGCGTATATAGCACATCAACTTAGAGATTTCCAAAACTCAATAAATATTTCATTTAGAATAGTATTGAATACCGTATTAGTAATCCCCTTTACCACTCGCTAAAGTTGTCAAATAATTTCCAAAACCGATTTAATTTTCCTCATATTCAACTATATTCCAAGTAAAATAATTGCGTTTTGTAAAAATGTAGTTTGTAGAAGGACCAGAACAAAAACCTGGGAATTAAACTAGATTTAGTAAAATTTTATTATGGATTGATCTATTAAAAGTTTATATATATATATATAATATTCTACTCGTATTACGAAAACACATTTTGTGATAAAGTTAATTTCTTTAACAGAAGCATTCAAATACGGATATCAGTCTTGGGTAATAAAAGGGGGATCTTTCAAGTACTTTATGTTAGTCATATACTCGCGGGTTTTTTGAACATAAGTTAAATTCAGTTTTATAATACCGTTTGGTTCTTTGTCATGAAAAAAGATCGGTTTCTCAAACTCCTGAGGAAAGTTGTGCCTTAATTAAAGCTTAATAAGGCAATTTATACTTAATTCCAATATATAGACGCAAAGTAGTGTAACTTAATCAAAGGACTTAGTAGTTAAGACGTTTGACTTCCAACCACTAAATCCCAGGTTCCAAATCAGCTCCACCTACTTCGGTTTTGGCATTCGGGTGGTACCATTAGCTTTCACGCACAGTATGGCTCATACCCAAGTTCCGGGTGAATGGATTGGTTAAAAAAATACAAAACGTTTTAATATCATTTATAAAAGTAATGCATTACATAACTCAGTAACTGCACATAAGTCTATGTAATGTTGCAGGTCACGTTTACTGTTCATCTGCTAACGTAACCAAATACTCAAACATCACTAGAATACAATGATGCTTGAATCGCAAACCTTTTGGCTTACGTTTAGGTGTCTAGATCACTATACCACTATTTAAGAGACTCTTACCAACTATTTGTTTGAATCTGCTCAGTTTTTTTATTATATAACTGCTGTGTAGATTAATTTCATAGGTAATATTATTCACACTACATTACTTTGTTTCCGTTCACCAAATCTTCAAATTCGAAATTCTTTTTAAAAATGGTTGCTAGACTCCTTGGACATTGGGTTATAGTTGGAATAAATGAGATTTATCATGTCTATCTCTACTCAAATACAGGTAGGATAGGTGCTGGAGTTAAGTTTTATTACTCTTGCAAACTAGGAATAAGTTTGTAAATATCACTTTTCTCTAAGTAAACGTTTCGTTTTGACAAATCTGGTAAATCTAGAAAGACTACGCATTGGACTATGATTGAATTATATAGAACTCAATTTGATAGTCATATCACATCATAGTTATCTAATTGTATGATTCGTTTTCGTCCTATTCTTTTCTGCACTTTTCCCTTTTTTGTACACTGTCATCAAGTGTAATGATAATAAAGATGGCGCATCCTTGTACGAGGTTCTGTCTGTCTGAATAGACTAAAACATGAAAGTATTGTGGATTCTCAGTTGATTTCTGTCTAGTGGTTCAGATACAGGATAAACAGCTTTAAATTAGTGGTAATAATAATTGTCGTTGTGAATATTGCCTGGTTTGAACATATAGTTTACTGACCATGTTATATACATACGTTAATAAATGAATTCCATGTTTCACGTTTTATATACTAAACTTACAAATATATGATCAATATGCCACTTCGTATCTTGAAATTCGTTACTTTCTTAATATCAACCATGAAGTTTCATTGGTTCGCGTTCCCGTAATTTACCGAGAACTTACGACTAAAAACATTGGTTTCCTAGTTCCGGAAAAATCTGTCGTCGGTTGCACTTAGTAATTTGTAGACTTCAGTAAAATTGAGTTGTAGTTGAGTTTCTTAAGGCTTATCAAATCACAGAATTTTCAGGCTAGACATAAACCCATAATCTTTGGCCTTCAGTAGGCTGGCGTTCAGCCTGAAAGTACATAAAGGGTATCGTGTCCGAAAGGGTCTGAATAAAACCAAGAGAAAAGGTAAATCAACTTAAGAAGTACATGAAATCCACTTACATTTAATAATAAAAGCAGTCGGCAGTAGTCTGCATGAACACAAACGTAAGGTTTAATGGTCCAAACTAAAGTTGATAGTACAATCTTTCAAATCCTCTATAAACCCTTATATAATACGTTATGAGTAGCGGGTAAGGTTTCGCACAACTGGTTCTTCATAGTTGATTAAGAGTCTGTTTTTGTTACACAGCTTTATATTTCATAAAATCATTTGTTTTGATTGAGTTAATATCACTTTTCGTCACCAAAAATTGTTCTCAACTCCATGTTTTACAGAACCTGCTTTATTAGCTATTATGAATCATCTTAATCCGCGTTCACAGCTGATCGCATTTTCACTTGTTGACTTTTTGATTAAAGTAAGTTAATATTACTGTATGAGTGCACTTGCTTTGTCACGTACTTTTTTTGTTAAAACAGTTCAGGGAACAGTCTATTTTCTATATTGTTTAACGTTTTTCATATTTAGTTAGGTCTATTCATTTAATTAGATCGTAATTGGTAAAGTCGTTCAACTTATACACTTACTGTCTAAGGATCATGTACTATTTATCTACTTATTTGTATTCCAGGGTTTTTTCTTACATAATTACTAAAACTGGGCACCTGATTTTTGTCCTCAGTCACTACCAAATCCAAACAACAGTTGTATAATAGCCTTTGGTAGTTGTATTTTTGAGTGATATTGGGTTATATTTACTGTGACAGTAGTTGAACCTTTAATGTGGAAGCATTTAAATCGGACACTTAGTTGACTTCTGACTTAAACTACATCGTGGTTTAGATTTAGACCAAAACGCTCTTTGCTCCGATGTAGACAATACATGTCGAACTCTCTCCAGATATGTACTCATTGTTACATTTATATTATGTATGTAGTTGTAAAACTTTCTCTAATATAGTTTTACCTACCAAATGAAGTGTAACATGTACATAAATTTCCGACTGGAATTATATATATAACAATTTAACCAGCCTCCTGCTTATGTGTACACCTCTTAATATCTTTATAATTACCGTGTATCTACTTTGATGAATTTTCTTTAAAATATCAACATTTTAATATTTCACTCTAGATTGTTGGAACCTATTATCCCCCAATGACTGAAAGAATCGTTATGGGTGTTCGTTCTGGTCTGGAGGAAATGATTCGTTTAGGTGTTGTGAAGTAAGAAGTTGCATATATTCTATAGAAACCATGTAAAATATGATGTTTATAAATATTTCTAATTGTAATTACTTACAAAATGACCAAATATTTACAATACTAACACGGTGATATATGCGTACTTTGAAGATCAGCTATTAAAATAGTGAAACTTATGGTAAATGGAACTGTGAACCTAATTAGTTAATTCATGAAGGCTTTGTAAAGTTTCTTCTTAACTTCATTCTTATAATAATACTGTCCCACTTCTAAAAATACCAATGTTCACTTTCCATATCATTAAATGGCAACAAGTCAAATATAATTTTTATCTTAACTCTTTATGTTGTACACGATACTGAAGTCGGGTTACACAACTATCAGTTACCGGGTCATGGATTTGCACCATTTTAGTGTACTTAAACCTGTGTAATCAAGTGGTATCATGTTATATTTTATATTACTGATGTCATTTGTTTTATGACCCAATAATTTACTTGAGATTGGTGACACTTGGTTTCATTAATTGTAAACACATTTTATGCAATATTCTTTTTAAAAGCTTTGAGGGTTTAAAGAATTAGGTTCTAGCTATCCCTTTACGAGTAAATTACTAAACAAAGTTACTTTGGTCCTGAAAGTGAAATATTGACATGTTTTATTATACTGCATAATATTTTGTAGGCAATTATAGAATAATTAAGTCGTTTGAAGGTTTAGTCAAACGAAAGAATTTTAGCGTTAAAAAAGGCTAATCTATTCGATATGATCTGTCCTAGTCCTCAAAATCAAACTAACTTTATGGGATAAAACTAAATTAACATCCAATGAAGTTAAAATTCAGTCGGTTCTTCCTCAGAATGTACCACTTATTGCTAATGTTCAAGCAAGAATGTCTTCTACGCATTTCTCGCGTATGGTGGGATCGCGATGTGAGTAGTGCTAAAGTTAGGCTTAGTTTACTATATAGAAATAAGTCAATTGATAAAGCCGTACCCCTTCATTAACTCGCCCGGTTAGAAAATATATTATACGTATATATATATACGTCTGAGTTGTATCGTTAGGTACGGTCGTTCTGGTTGGCGAACATGTGATATCTGTCACTATTGGTTGGAGACGCTAGGCCACATGGCTCAAAATAGATTGCAGTGACTCACATGGACTCGTTCTATCTACCATAAGTCTTGGCTCTTATTATGATTGTACACCATTTATTCACGAATTTTATTTTTTCTCTTTAAACCGTCATCTCTATGTTTAATACTAAGCTACCATTGATACTGGTAATGTTTTGACTCTATAGCCTTCCTGTTGTTTTAATGTGTGGTAACTAACCAATGCACAGTTGTCCAGGTTTAGAGCTGTTTACACATTAGGATTTCCACGGGTGGTTAATAAAACTTCGTTTTGTTTGTTTATAGAAGCATCGCTCCTCTATTCGAGTTTTTACACCGTTCGTCTTCTTTGGATTTGTTGCGATCACTTCGTGTTTTGTTGGGTCTTGAGCCTAATACTACCTTGACAAGTATAGCAGTCCCACCTGTGGAAAACCCTAGTCGTCCGACACCTGAAAAATGGCCAGGACCAGGTGATACCCCAGTGGTGAGCACGAACTTGAGCTCTGTTGCGAATTCCACGGTTGTTTCTCGCAGTCAAACTACTACATCTTTAACGGTCACTAGGTCTTTATCACCAGGTAAGTTACCGGTTTTCTCTTTTTACCTAGATTGTCAATATTGATATCACGATTACAAACAAACGTTTTTATTTGAAACCTTGCTTTTGCAAGTTTGCTGAGCACAACATAATCGGGATGAAAATAAATAAATGTACACATTTCTCAAATGTTTTGTTGACATGTAGGATGAATTTATAGATCTCGGTAGCTTGTGATATACGGATTGAGATGAATAAGTGATATGTTTTATTGGTTACATTTAAGCTTATATAGCTTGCTGGCTGTGTTATATTTTTAATCACGTGTGTTTCAGATTCTTTGTGATTTTTGCGCTATGTGCTTGCATTCAGAAGTGAAAATTGTGTTTCACAATCAGGCTTAGATATATTTTAGATTTGATATTACAGATATCTAAAGTAATCATTAAATTTGTAATTTTCTGTGGACTTATCGATTTAGAATTTCTGATCAACCTTCTGATTTGTTACTATCATTTTGATCCTATATCAAATAAGTAATTATATATTATTTTAAGCTAGTTTTCTGGATACCATGCAACTGCTTATGCGATCAAATTTTCGGCGATATTCATGCCCAAATATAAGAACTCAAGAAGTTTGGTTTTTCGAAATACAAGTTCCATGAAATCGTTATTGTATTATTGGCTTTTTCACATATTAACTTCGCGTATCAGTTATATCATTCAAGTATTCTAATTATTGGCGTATTTAATTAATTTTGACTAACAGTAGTTAGTGTAAAATGATTGGATAAACCATCAGAGTTTATTTTTTGAAAGTAGAGGCGCGAATTCCATATACATTTTGTTACTTTTTGTGTCGCAGATATAGATAAATTAACTTATTCATCGGTTAGCTGGGTATAAACCACACTCTAAGTGTAAAGGCTAATGATACCACTCGGTTGTCCAAACCGAAGTAGGAGTAGCTGGGTTGGAACCTGAGATTTAGTGGTCGGAAGTCAAACACTTTAGCCGCTGAACCACAGTTCTAGATATTATTTACTTACGCCTGTTACTACTCGTGGAGGAACATAGGCCACCCACCATGATTCTCCAACCGACTCTCTTGGGGAATCTTCCCCAGTTGTTTCCATTTGCTAACGCTAACCAACTCTAGATATATCATGGAGAAATTAAACGTTAACAAGATGTATTTTAATAAAAATGTTATTTTTTACAATTAGAAGCTATTTGTAAAAAGAATTAGTTTATAGATTTGTGAATGTAGAGCTGGACACTGACGGCCATAATTGTGACGTCACGTAATTGTTCCTAAAAAATTTACGTCTCATCCTATTGAAAACGTACTTTTAAATGTTTACTTTTATTTTAATTTTATGATGTATCATTTGTTTATTTATTACCTTTCATCTACCCACTCCTTTGTCTCTTGTTAGTCACATTAATGACAGATAGTGGACCACCAACAGACCCTCGTCTGACACGGGGTCACGCTGCTATTCTCGCTGGGGCTGTCCCCCCAAATCTAAATTCTACATTAACTGAAAATCTTCCTAAACCTGTTTTAACAACATCAGAAATAATTCCAAGTCTTCAGCCAAGCATACCAAATACTTTACAGCAAAATCCATTACCATTTACTATTTCACAGGATGACTCAAAAACTTCAATTATCCCTGCACGTAATACGTTGCCTACACTACCATCTCTACCACGTAGTTCCCAACAATTAACAGAAGTTCAAATAACCGACGACTTGGATATAATGGAGATTAATATTTTGGAAAATAAACCAGCACTCACAAGAACTGCCACCTGGAGCCCACCACCAGTAGAAAGTCGGCGTGTAATCAAGAAAGCAGTTGACCATGAACCAGATACTCCAGATTCACTGGAGTTCAAAATTGGTTAGTGTTGTTCGGTTTAACTGTTTTTCGTTACTTTAATAACACTAGTAGCCGATGGTTTTGAGATTACTGGTGTTTGAATTGAATGTCATTTATACTGATCATTTTGGAGTCACTTAAAAGAACGGTCAGTTTTATTGTTTCTGTCCTAGCTTGAACAAATCATGTCATCATACGAGTTCGTACTAATTTTTCGGTACATAAGTTAACCTTCTTTGCAACGAAAATTTTGGTAACATAAAACTCCTACAATCCTAAGTACTATTCTTTTAGGAAACCGTCATAATTGATGTCATTTCATACGTTTATTAGTTTCATAAGATGCATTCCACTTGATGCATGTACTTTAAATTTCTCACTGCTGTATATGTTGAAGAACGGTTTTTAAACTTCTTAATTACATAGATGAGGAGTAGCATCTTCATGTATTTTGTCATTTCTCGTTATATATATTGATCATGGTTTAAGGTTAGTTGGAAGTTATAATTGTCATCATCAATCAACTATTGTAGGTGTGTGATTTTAAACATTAAAAAAAAGTGACTTCACTTCGTTTCTGTTTTATCTCTGTTGGTTAAAAGACTGTTTAATAATTCTTCGTTGCGAATTGTTCGTCATTTTCAGATAGTCTCCGGCGTCGATTTCAAGATTATCAAATTAGATTTCATTACTTTGTCGAATCTGTTGACGTAAATTCCCTGATTAAACAACTTGATGGACCTATACGGACAGCATTGGAACAGTTTCGTGATGTAGCTAAACAAGTTGGCCTAATACGTAATTCTTCGATTGGTTTATGTGCTTCACAAAATTTGGATGATTTGGATAATGGCTGCTATGATCAGGAACAAAATTCCTCCGGTAATTATATATATATACGTTACGGCGTTACGACTAAATGTTCCACTTCAATGAATGAAACTCGAAAATTACAGCCTTAAATGAATTATTAAGTCAAGTGATTCAAAGGAAATTCACGTTAAAGATTATTTCTTTCCACTCTAGTCTGCAATAGTAGAAGTGCATTTAGTAAACATTCTTCCGAGCACCATTCATTACTTTATGTCTTGGTCATATTAGTGGCAGGTCTATATTTAAAAAATTCAACAGTCCCTACTCATTACTTTTGCAATCAGTCAGATTTAGTTTCATAATTTTAGAAATTATGTTGGTTGATCCTATTTTCTTGTAGATACAGTATCAAATTTGTTCTCGTTTGCAAGCAGGACAATTAGAAGTCACGTTTTTTTTTATTATGGAAGTACTAATGTATCTTTTTACAACCTTAACATCAATTTTACTATTGTTATCAAAGTATTATCTGGAAAATAGCTTCTGGTAGTTAGTGGAGACTTAGTTTTCCTTTACCAAATTGGCTCAACCTATGCTACCGAAATAAATTTCCCAGAGTTAATCTCGTTGTCGAAAATTAGTACCGATTTTAAATTAGAAATAAATCATTAGAATAAATCATTCTTCAAATCATTTTTCAGACCTGCTTGATTTCTTTATTTATTAGTAAATCGATGAATTGATTCTTTCAATCGATAGTATCACCAGGCATTATTATTTTCTGATCACTGTTCGTCATAAGTTTTAAAGTATGGAGAATTTTACTTCTCAATGATACTAGTTTCTATCTTCTTAGCCGTTAATATCCACCACAGCTCTTCATCATGGTCATTCAATCGTTGTCTTTTTGTCTACTTATAATTTTTATTGTACCGGGAATCATCATAAGTGAATCGGTTGTTATCAGCCAATGCATAGTTGTTTTTCTTGATTCGTTTTGGACTGTATGAAAATTGGTAGTATATCACTTATTGGATTTATCTCTGTTCTAAAGGAAAATGTACAATAACAGTTTATTTCAACATAATTGTCATTCTCAATAGTGGTTTAGTTTTTTTTATGGTGCATTCATCACACGTACCTGTGGAGTTCAGATGATTACTATTTTACAGCACAGCATATTACAAATTCCACTTCCTACTCTGCGAGCATTAGACGCTGCTAAACTGGGTGGCTGTTATAAGCTCCTTAAATGAAATAAATTCTTACTGTACAGAATCTATTCCTGATAAATTGTCATCTAAATGAGTTTCTGTCTTATTTTTCGTGATAGATTCCATTAGTTTCGAAGTTTTTTGGATGTATACATAAAATGGACAACCATTTCTGATCACAAGTATATTTTTGTTCAACCAGAACTAATCAGAACATTTAAGTTTCGAATTAAAGCTGATATTTCGTTAGTTCATACACTTATGTAAAAAATTGGTTTGTTCGTTTTCGACATATTTTTGTAAAAAATGAAGTGAGATAATTCAATTTGTAAGCTGCTATATTTTAACCTGTTTCAATAAGAACTTATCAAGAGTTCAGTGCTTAACTTTATACAAAATGTGATCTCTTTTAGATCGGTATTATATTCATTAGGTTTCTCACTAATACGTAGATTCAAACATGTGATTACTTTGTAAACATATGGTTTGTACTCTATTTTATCCCCGGTTACTGTTCACGTTATGGTTTGATATTATTATTTTGTTGTATTTCGAATTATTCTTTCAATGTAGTATATCTTCGCTCTGCGTCTGTTCTTAATGATTTGTGCGAGTCAATGGAGGCTCTCATTCAAGCGGTACTTGTTGAAGACAGCTTCGATGATTTAGAGATCGCTGGTCGGACAGCAGCTGTTGTATGCGAATTACTGTTCTGTTTATTTGCACAACGTTTGATGCCTGTTGGAGTTGAGTGGTCTGAAGAGTAAGTTTCTTTGCACACAATTATAAATTCTCATATATTTCATCATGTAGTATTTCAATGCTCCAACCTTTAGCAAATTAAGGACTGGAAAACCACTGAAAAACATGGAAGAAAGAAATAGACGTTACATTTTCATCCTCAGCAACGTGTACCTACGATCACAGAGGGTTCGATCATCATGAACTGGGATACTCACAATTCCATTCAATCATTGAGTTATACTTTTGAACGTTGAAATTAAGGGCATATAATGTGATGTTTTTTTCGGTTGTAAATGCTTTACGTTATTTTTATCTTAAATAGTTCAAATGCATATAGTACACTGATTTTCACTCCATCATACTTTCCTCTTCTTTTCCTATACAAGACATTTGGAAGATTGTTTAGAATTCCCGATATTTATTCCTTTCCGTCATCTTTTACAAATGAATCCAGGCGATCCCAAACGTGAATTGCTCTTATTATTGTTAACAGAGATGCAAACTCGACAACCTCGTCTCGGTTATCATTTATTATTTTTCCTTAAAGTTAGGTAAGTTATTTTCTTAACGTCAAAAGTGTCATTTAGACTAAGCTCCATATTTAATGATAGTATTAAACTTTTTCCTATCTGTTGTAACGGGTGGATTGCAGATTTGATGCGCAGCGTTTTATTGATCGATTCAGTGACACGTAAAACACGTACGGACGACCTAGAGTTCTGACTGGTCCTGCTTCGCTGTCTAACCCAGCCAGTTGAGTCCAGAACACAAGTCACAGCCTCTGAGATATGAATCGTTGTATTTCAAACATACTCTGTTTATATACCAACCAAACAGACCACATCGTACCACAAAAATAGAAAACAACATCTGTACAATATTTAACGAGTGAAATAAATAATGCCCAATAGGGAATGCCCATTTAAGGTCCAAGGACATCATTAGACTTAACATGATAATGATTGGTATATTCCTCTGCATCCCTAACATTATCAATAATCTTTATGATTAAATCAACTACCTAGTTTTAATGTGTGGTTAATGAGGTGTGTGATAATTCGTTGAATATAATTTAGTAATAAAGTGACCTGTGAAATTTATGTCATGTAGGTTAGATTGCTGAGATTTACTAGTGTTATTATGCCATTCATTCCAATGCTCTGCAATATATCTGGAAACTTCTTTTTCAAGATTAGTTTTCAGCTGTTCTTTTCACTTTGTTTTTTTATGGAACAATGTACTTATAGAAGTACTATGTTAAAAATGGATCTATTTTTGCTTCCTTTATATTATTTTTCACAGAGATTCTCTTTTTTGATTTGTTACAGCAAAGTAAATGATGAGAAAATGTCGATTTATCGTAATTTTTGTGCAAGTCAAGAAAATCCTAACTTACGAGATTCTTTATTCAAGGATATGCAAGTAAGTAAAAAAGAAGTGAATTGTGAATTCTACTTAGTAAACTATTCATAGTGAAGCGATGAATTATTGGCTAAGACGTTCAACTTACAACCACTAAATCCTAGGTTCTGTTCCCATCCTCACACTTGGAATGTGGTTCATACTTGATAAATGAGTTACTTTATTTAAATCTTAAAAATGTCTGGTAGAAGAATACTACTGACTTTACGAAAATACTTAGGAATTCAATTTACAAGTCTTAGTAATTTAGTAGTTAGTAATTCTAACCATATATATATATATATATATATATATATATATATATATATATATATATATATATATAAGCTATCGTTTTTAAAAAAAAGAATAAATCATCTTTCGTTCTATTAGCTGAAATCCTAATGACTTGTTAAACATCTTTAATATTTATATAATGTTTCGTTTAGTTTTAACATTTGCGCAATATCTATGCAAAATGGGTTACTAATTTATGTTAATTCGGTAATATAGTCGGATAAGAAAAAAAACAAATATACCTGCAATTATCTATGATATTATAGGGACCTCATTTTCGTGTTGCAAATAACACTGGTTCACTAAATGATATTTAAAATATCTCGCATTTTTTTGTTTTTTGGTCTATTTTAAGTGAATTTCATAGCTAATACACTTAGCATTTACTCAGCTGCTAAATATTTTAGTTAATGGCTTTTTTCTGTGCGTCCGTGCTATATGCTTCTCGATGAAGTACCATAACTACTACCTATTGAGACGTTTATTGATTAAATACTCTTCAGAAAACTGACTTTACAATTTCAGTCATAAAATTTGTATTTTTATCCCATCCCTATGAGATTGTTAAACTTCTCAGTTCAATGAACAATTTTCTGTTTCACAGATTAACTGAGACTGGATTATTTTGAAGGGAAAAGTCTATGCCCTTTATTTTTAATACTGGCTATAGTTAATCGGATTAGTAATCGAGTTATATCACTGTATCTATTTCACCGAGATAATTACGTGCTAATAATCTTCATATTATCTATGATATTTCATTTACATTTTTAATGATATTTTTTCTGTTATTCTATTCATATAGGACTTAGCTAAATAGTAACAGTTTGTTTGTATTATGGTGGAGGTTTCTTATAGTAAAATGCTATAAACAATTGGAGGAAATTAGCTTTTAGGTCACTCATTCTCCAATCCATCATAACCTGACTGTTCGGCCCAATCTTTGGGCATCCTATTAATCACTTTGTTTATATGACGTAAACTTACCCGCCGAGGTTACAGAGTGCTTTTACAACTGTAGTTAAATTTCAAAGTATTATAATAAGCTTTTAACAGCCTTCAACGTGACTAACATCAATGTCTAGTTTGAGAGCCAGTGTAGAAAATGATTGCTAGAATGGACAGTTTATTTCATTATATTACTGTGGTTTTCGATTCACTCAAAACTTCTAATTTTTTGTGAATTTTTACGATACATCATATAAATGTTTATTATTTTCCTATGAGATAAGTTAATTTACAAAAATTCTAATTTTAGTTGCTGTCTGATGATAATCGTCGCCTGTTCGCGTATTTACTTCCAGACGTATTCACTGTGGTAAGTTTGTGATATTTACACTACTTATTCAATAAGATCAATTAAGACTTTTGGGACAACTTCCCGCTGTGATCTCCTTTTTACACCCAACTAATGTTACTATTTTCCGTGTTCAGCATGGGATGTTTAAGGTTTTATGTGATATATTATTTCTGTGCACATTTACACATGCGCATATATAAAAGTATTGCCTGAGTTTTTTTTCCAAGAGCAATGATATGGCGCTAGGTAAGAAAAAGTCAAAAATCAGCGCATTCAATTTTCGTACTGCGTTATGTTATCTTAGTGATCGTTTTTCTGTATGTAAAGTTTATTTTGTATAATCTGACAAATTTTAATACTATTCCGAATCTGTTTAGGGATTCTTACTATATACTCCATTGTGTCGTATTCCCATATACTTAGAAATTAAGTGGTCGATGATCTTTATTGATAGAAAAACGGTATAATTTAAAACTTTCAAACTAAATATGAACTTCGAGGTAGAATCGATTAAGAATCTTTTAAGACAAATGGATGATAGTGGTCATGTATATATACACATTTATTCTCTGTGTTAATTTTTTATGATTGTATATCTACTGTAAGTATAGCGTTTATATTGTGGAAAAAGGATTTCAAATATACAAATAAAGCCACTAGAAAGCTATTTCAGCAAAATGATCTATTCATCTTTACGCCATATTTCATATTCGTCATCGTATAAACTCCATAATGTCTATCTCATAATAGTAAAATTACAAAAAACCATGTAAATGTTTGTGTATTTAATTTCGATGAAAAGTGATGCTCATTGGATTTTGATCGCTACTAGCCTCACCCTGATCATGACTAAAACAAAATACCAAGTCTCACTTATAGCAAGATCTATAAGACAGTTAAGCATTTAAATTTAATCGTCATATATAAATTCGTTCATAATTAGCTACTAAAAAATATAATCTATACAATAAAAGTCATTAGTTTTATTATAGCTGTTTATAATAAAATGAGTAGTCAACTTGGTTTATGATATTTTTGTTCTTTTTGTAAACATGGTATATAACTAGGAAAAAGTGAGTGCTTATTAATAATCTTACACAACTTGATCTGTCAACTGGAACATATTCACCTTTGTGGTGTGAATAATTACTTTCAGATCAAACCATATTTCTAGTCTATCATAGTTGCTAACTTTTGACATAGTGGAAATTTGTAGTTCAGGTGAATAGTTTTGATGGAGTTTTAAATTCCCCTACTTCTATCACTTCTATCTGAAGTTTTGTGCTGATGATATTGCTTGGAAAAAACCATAAAAGTTTCACAATCAAACTACTCAGCTCAGAAAATTAAACTTCATAAAAAGTGACTAAATTGTTAAGGAAAAATTTGGGCTATTAGTCGATTAATCAGATTATTTTCATCTCCGAATTTTATTCATTTTACACTTTAATCTAAATTATCTTATTAGGTAATCAATGAAGCCATTGTTGATCTGAGTCACGTTGGAAAGCTCTGATTTATTACTGTACGTTTTTAAGCTAATCGTAATCTATGGTTGGGGATCTTAGACAGAATGCCTCAAAGTAGAAATGGTTATAAAAAATATTCTTTTCCAGTGTGTATTTTATAAATTTTCTGTTGGATCAACGATGATTAAATGTCTTTACAGTTAGTTATTGTTCTTGAATATTTTTAATTTTATATATTTTGTTTAATGTTTTATAGTTTTCATCAGAACTATCTAATGACACGGAATTTCTTCGATTAATTGTTGCTACCATTGATCCTGGAATGTGTAATTCTCTTATAAGTGAAATAGTTCGTGGACATTTAAATCTCTTTCCGAATAACGATTTGACCAATATATTAAGTAAGTTTTGTATTATGAATCTTTAAAAATTTATTGTTCACAAACTGTTACTGTAAACAAATTTTCTGTTCGCTGCTGAATTCAAATTGTAGAAAATTTATGTGTTTTTATCATCAAATTAATTTGATGTAAAGTATATTGTGTGCCCAAGAGATGTGCTAATATATCTATTTTTGTACATTTGCATAGTCAACAGGATTGAATTGAACATTTTAGCGTTTTTGTTGTTGTCTTTATCAGGAAGTTGGTAAAGATACCGTAATGCCATTTCACTTGTTTATCTCAATGAAACATCTGTTACAAAATACTACATTAAATAAATGTCGGCAACAGTTATCATCGTTAGTCTTTTTTTTCAAAACCGGAAGCTATTTTGCGTGTGTATGTTTAATTTATTACTAATATCAACAGAAGACCCATTGGAAATAGTCAAAATTTATCTTATATAGCTTTTTCGTTCTATTTTGGCGTTGTGGGGGTGGAGGTCTGAGAATTATTCATAAGTGTGTATTCACCATTCCACACAGGATCAAACCAAAGATGTTCATATTTCTTGCATTTAATAGCATTGTATTCTATCTTAGCCAAATTCATTATATTTACCAAATTTGCATTAGTTAATCTATGTTAATGATTTTTAGATGTATATGAATTCATTATCATTTTGTAATTTGCATAGCTCGGATTAATAGTTTTCACGGTTGAATGGTTTATTTATCAATTATAGGTTAGAACCTATAATTGATCATGAAGTAATGCTTATTTGTAAAGTCACCTTTTCAGTAAATAATTGTTGCAAAAAATATTATTTCAAAGATTCTTGTGATGATTTATTCTACGCATTGAAACTCAAGAATCTCGCTTGAATTCCTATCATATTTACTTAACCATCTAAATATTATTGAATACTTGTAAATTTTGACTATATCATATACATTAGATACAACAAATAGTTTTAAGTGTTTTTCGTTTAGTTGTGAATACAATTAAAACGGTAGATTAACGTTTTCGGTGTTTATTCGCTACAAATTTTGATTTTAAATATATACTTGCTAGTTCACATGGAATTAATATTTCCATACTCTTTAATCTTTCTTATTCCTTTTTCAATAACACTATTCCATTCATCAATAAATCCCCAGATGCCAGTCTTGAATGGAATTCGATTGAACAGTTATTCTTTTGGCAGTTGATTAATGCTCATGAAATTCCAACTAGTCGATTTCTACCGTTGATTCATTCTGTCGATTCATTTAGTAAGTTTATTGTTAAATTGATGCGTTTATGTGTATCTGATATTTTCACTGATTTCATTCTAGCACATGTAAAGTGTATTAAATAGAACTCATTGAAAAAATTTACAAATCCGTTTATAATAAAATGGGTGTTAAGAGAATTATTTAGTTAACTAGCATATTCATTTCAGGATGTCATATTAGTAGTTGTGTAAATATTAATGTAAAATTGGTTTTTAGGTGACTTTTAACATATTGTGGGGACTGTTTACTTAGTACGTGATCCGTTTAATACATAAACAAATTTAGTAGTTACTCAGGAAATTCATGAGATTTTAAGATCTGTTTATGAAAATAACGCGCTACAGGAAATGACTGTTCGAACACATCAAGGATATTTCATCCAAGGCTTTAACAACTGTACGGACGATTTAAGGTCAGTACAGTTGTTAAGCTCCTGTTTTGGTGAATACATTGAACTTGTAAAGTCTCTCGTGCGTCCCCTTTATCGATTTACTGGGTTTGGAATGCCTCGTTTTCATATACGATTCTAACAAGATGTAAACTGAAGAGGCACTTGGAAAGCGTGAATTTTGTGGGTTTTCAGGGATGTTTTGAACAATAAAAACAGGGTTTAGGTGAATGTATTGCCACAAATGGTAAGTTTTCGGGAGATGTCAGTCAGTCAACAACAACGTAGAACTTCGTACACACGTACATCAGTTCAAGTTGCCATGGCGCATTAACGCAGAGATACGATTGTCGATTCAAATCCCGTAGTGGTAGAGGTAGTAAGAACATAAGCAGTAATCGGAAAGATTAAGGCTTGAAGCTGTTATTCAGGGACAGTAAAATCCAGTGAAATAAGTTTGGAAAGAGAAAAAAAGGACATGAATAATTCAGAAGATCAGAACTTGGGAGAACACAGAGATTGGATGCACCTGCGCCATTGTAAACGATTTTGAGCCATGTCATTCAAGGTCTCTAACCAACGGTTGCTATCGTCTCGTGGATCCCAACCACGTAGTCTACATCTACCAACATGGTTCAGTCCACTTGTCAGTGACTTCATGGATTTGTGCTTTGTTTTGGTCTGGTCGCCCCTAGCTTTCTTTCAACCTACTCCTACACCATAAAACACCGCACGTCGGTGGTTGGGCATACGTAACACATATCCCAGCCATCCCAACTGATGAAGTTTCACTAATTCATCAATTGATTTGTCATCCTTACCTATTACCCGTTTCCTAACAACCCCTCTTTTGGGTGAGGGGTCAGGACTATTTATTTTAGATTGTGTAGAATCAAGTTTTTATGACTCCATTTCTCACATTTGTTGAAGAAACTATATATCTTCGTGAATAAAACCATACATATCAGAAATTGTTTATTTCCAATTTCTCAAAAATGATTGTCTTCGAAATGTTAGTTAGCCTTCTTTCATTTCTTAAAGAAAATAATTTAAATGTATGATTTTATCAAATAAATCTTGTCAAATAATTTTAGGGGACTACATAAGACAGACGAATATTTTTGCTAAGATTATACACCTAGTAATGTTTTGTATAGATATACACATTTGTTCCACTTAAAATATGAAATTTTCCAGATATTATTTGTAAATTATTTAATTTTCTTTCATTCCATAATTAGATTAATTTATGTATTACCTAAGTTCTTGTTTTATTTTTTTTCTACTTCTTCGTGAACTAATTCAGAGCATCCTGAAGCATGTTCCAATTTGATTCTTCTCCTTAAATTAGAAAAGTAAGTATTTTGTTTTAGAGTTAAGTGTGTTGATTTACGAATGTTTTATATTTTACACTTATAATTATTTAAATAATGAAGAATGTAACATTTAAATTTACGAAACTTGAGATTTCTGGTTAACGAAATATTCTTAAATAATATTCATTAATTTAATCACTTTTGGTCATTTTATAAGCGTCTACATATTTTATATCTTGGATTTTTATTCAATATTTTACTGAAGTAGTATTTTATTAGGTATTTATAACAAATGCCTTAATCCTTTCAGTGAATTTAAATTCACAATCTTGTCAACTGTTTAACAATAAATATTAACTACTGAGTATCCGTCCGAAGTATTAAGTACTCAGTGTTTCTGCCATACTTCTTTGATATCAATAGAACATAGGTAATCAAATGTCTATCATCTTTAAAATGTTTTCTGTCAAATGCTGTTGTGAACTGGTATTTTTGTGTAATGTAATAAGTCACGTTATTGTCTTTATTTCACCGACCACAATCCCTCTAGCGTTGGTACTATTAAGTAAGATAATTGGTAAACATGATCAACAACTTTCTATTTTTCTAGTTTATTGTGGAAATGAGTGGTAGTGGTATTAGTAGTAGTAGTGTAAGGTGTCTACTTCTTATATTTGTCTAGACGGATTTGCTTATCAGTCCCTACTCAAGTTTCCTGTTTGCACATAAGAGGATCAATGGTGATACACTCTAAGCTATATACATTAACATAGTATGTAGTATGTATAGTCACTTAAAAAACGGCAGTGATCAGGTAGTTAGTTGTATTTCAATTCTAAATGCCTTTGCTGCTTCTTTTCTTTTTGTATAGCAAAATCGTTTTCAGTAATCTGAATAATTATTTTTGTAATTGACCTTTCAGACCTAGCTTTGAATTAGTTCGTGCTTTACTATCTCGTCGTAATTCAAATGATTTACTATCAATGACTGCACTGCACTTTTGGAGCTGTCCGGATAATCAACATGCTGGACGTTTCTCAAACATTTTATGTTCGTTTATCAATGCACCTTTATCTTCAACAAATGCAGTTGTTGTATCTTCAGCTACTAATAATCAAAATATGAAAGACGTCAAGGATAAACGCCGCAGTTCTTCAAAGTAAGTGTTAGTATCCTGAAATTAGAAGCTAAAAGAAGTATTACAGCTACATCTACAAACTTGGTAACTAATTTTTCAAAATTTACCAAACATATTCGAAACAAAATCAAACACACTTATTCGAAAATGACTTTCGAGTTTTGTGCAATATAATAGAAGGCAGTTGACATATATTTATTCTCTTGTGGAGCTTCCCAAGAGTGCTCACATATTTCTTTACATGGGTTCCAAAAGAGGACCTTCAAGTCTCTTGGGTACATGATACCTTCTCGAGCACTAAGTTTAGTTTCGATAAAATAGTGTAACATCGTTCGAAGACGGCTCACAATTTCCAAATTAAGCAATAGTTTCATCTTCACTATATATATATATATATATATATATATATATATATATATTCGATATTCATCAACTGCATTTCTTAAACTTTTTGTTTTGTAGACATCAGCTGTCACCAGAGGATTGTGTGGACCTATCACTCATCCTTACCCACTTGGATTCTCTTCGAAGAAATTGTAAAAATATATCATGTAATTCACTACCTTTTAGTCTTTTCATAATTTTAAAAGTTTTTTTCATATTCATGTTTCATTAATTATATACTTTATTTCTTGTATTAAATTCTTTACTGTTTTAACTTCAGATATTCATCGTTCCACCTTTCCTCTCAAGAGTTCTGGAAAGATATCATTCGATTATTACTTAGTAACTATGAATGATCTTACTATTTATTGTTTTTGTACTGATAGCTCGATTATACGGAGTTATTAACGCTTTAATGAATATCTCTGTAAAATATAATAATATATTGATCATCCTTACAACTTTGAAAAGAATGCTTTAAAATAGTTGATCGACTATTAACAAAGGTTTAACCAATGCTACTGAATTGTATCTATCCGTCTGTTGTATGTGTTTATGTCTGTCAAGTGCAATGCTGTAATAGAATGATGGAGAAGATTTACAACTCAGGTGGATACTTTTGATGGTGTTACGTTCTATGCGTTAAATGAACAAAATACCGTCGAAAACAATGCTACAATATTTCAGTAATACAATCTAACATCGAATCTTGTTTTTTTCTATATCGGATGATCAATCGCAATTGTCGCATGAGAACTAACTACTTTTGACCACTGATATTTCACAAACCAATCAAAATATGTGATTTTATGAATAATGTAGGAAAGATTCAACTTGTTTATGGTATCGCTTTGTAACTAAGCATCAAATTTTTATTGAGATCATAAGCCGATCTAAGTTAGACAATCATTGATACACTAAAAGGGACTGCACGTCTATTTCGTTCTGGTATGAAACTCCCCAAAAATACACATCCACGACCGCACAGCCAGGGATCGAAATCGATATCTCCGGTCACATGTGGACGTTTGACCACCAGACCACTGTTCCCCGGAGTCCAGTGATGGACAAATTTAACTCCAATCAGTCCGCAATATTGCTCGACTGTCGTTGTCTCCAGTGGATTTTGATCATGTCGAGTATAAGGTTCTCAGTGGACGATGGCGGCACACTATCGCGGATTGATCGGAATTAAATTCGTTCGTCATTGGACTCCTAATTAGTGGTCTGGTGGTTAGACGTCGGCGCGCGAGACCGAAGGTCCTGGGCTTGATCTCTAGTTGTGTGGTCGTGGATGTTCACTTCTGCAGAGTTCCATATTGGAACGAAACAACCATCCAGTGCCTCGGGGTTTTCATCGGTTGTCTAACTACGATCAATCATTAATGTAAACTATAAAAATATAACAATCTCCACAGCCCTTATACTGATGTAAAATTTCTTCTGTATCCATTTTTCGTAATTAATTTATACTAAGCTATTGTGTTCCATTCTCATCTACAGATGTTGGAAGTTTTGCTAGAACTCAGATTTCGAATAAATTCACCAAAAATTTTACATATCTGATAACCAATTTAATTGATCATTCTTGACTTTGAAATGATTTTCTCAGAACTATTTAAATGTTGCCTTTTATTATTTCATGCTTTTTAATTAATTTCTATCCTCAAGTATTACAAGATGATGATATACAATCAGCTCTTCAATCTTTAGTGGTGTCGCCTAAATTATCTCCAAATCTTAAAGATCGTTTCTCTGACTTATTGGCATTAGTTGAAGATCTTCCACCAACATCTAGTGATTGTCATTCACAAATATCAGATTCTTTGTCACGTTGCAATTCTTCAGTTCATATTAATGGTGATGTGTATAAAAGTGACGTTAGAAAAAATTCATCTGATCGAATAAAACCTACTAGTCATGGTGGTAGCAAAGGTGGACATAGTCTTCGTAATTTAGATTCACGTCGAGCAGCTGAAGTAAGTCAATAATATAAATAAAATGAATATCATTTTTTCTGAGAATGTATGCTATACTCGTTGGCTTTTCTTTCGATTCTTGTAAATTTAGTAGGATGTGTCAAAATAATGTAATTTGAACGATTTCATTATACTGATAATTAAGTTTGAATCTTAAATTGTATTATGTTTAATTTCTAGTGACCAAATAAATAGTTCAATGCATTGTTATCAAAACTATTCATAGGAGATGCAGTCCCATGGAAGCCGGTGACCAGCAATTGGTTCATACGTCATTTGTTCCCGCAGGATACTGGAGCCCATGTGCACCATTGGTTTGGAATCCGGTTAAAGCGCCGGACATTCGCTTTTCGTCCTCTCATTTTCGTAAACAACACCCCCGCCACGAGAAGGCAGTGAGTAGGACTTCCCTGTCAGAGGCTATATACGCGTGGCCATATGAGAGAATTTCGAGAGGGAGAGCGGACTCTCCCCACTCTCGGCCATACCAGGGCATTTGGGGGCATAATTTTGTAATAAGCATTTTGAACGAATTTAATGTAAAAAATATACAACAATAATGATCGTTTAAATTTCATAGAAGACATAGATTCAACAAAGTAATGAGTAAATCATTAGATGTGTTTTGGTATACGAAATTGTCCTAACTTGTCAAGGAAGTTACATAAAACAATTTGAGCACACTAAACTCTATGTATTCGGAACAGAGCTGAGTTGAAAGGTAATTAATAATAATTCCAAAGAGACAAAACATGCAATGACAGTTTATGCTTACACAGGAGAATATAAAAGTATGGTAATCATACATTTTTTACAATTCCATACTGATGATATACAATAATTCTTCGCAAGGTAGTTTCAACTTACACAATATTTGGCTCGCTTCAACAGAATTATATTCTATATGCTCTGGTAATTCAGTATTGTTTATTAAGCAATTGTTTCTGAACATTCTACTCAATCTCATGAACAGTTAGTACATTGTTTCTACTTTATATATCTAGTTTCAATTGGTAGACATGTAATCATTAACGTTATTTACATGCATTCCGAATTGTTCACCCTTCTACATTTAATTCACCTGTCTTATGTAAGACTGGAAATACATTTATTCAGACTAAAGTTTTCCCTAAAACTCCTACATAGTCAGTTGTCTTACATAAATTTTTGTTTTTTACTGTTTTAGGCAGAAAGGCGGCAAGTCGTTTCAACTTACAGTAGTAATTCAACTTCTACAAAACGACATAATCGAAGCGATAGTCAGTTGAATAATTTTGATGGTGATTCTGATGGTAATGAAGTTGGTTCTGTGACTAGTGACTCGTCATCTTGTTCGTCCGAAGAAGAAGAGTCAACAATCAGCAGAAAAACTAGAAGTGGAGCAATGCGTTCTGTAGATAAATCTACGAATAAATTAAAAACAAGTGGAGGTAAACGTGTAAACAGTGAAGTAGCAGTATCAAAGGATCGTAAGTCAACAAATAAACGTTCAACTAGTCGTCAAGAAGTAGATGATGAATCTGTTAAAAGTGAAGATGATGAGGATGATGAATATGAAGATCGTGTATTGGAAGTTGTTGTGATTGATGATGAAAGTGGCGATGATTCCAATAGTTCCAGAGCCACTACGTCGCGAGGTAATAACAATAGTAATAATAATGATAATGATGAAGTCGATGACGATTGCAGAATACGTCCATCAAAACGTCGTAAAACAACAATAAAGCGTTTTATGTTAGATGACTAATTATAACGTTAGAAAATTTCTATTTTGTATATATTTAGACTGATATTTTTCAACGTTATCTTCTAATTGCTAATTCAGAACTGAATGTTCTGTCAAAATAATCTTGTACATAAAATCTATTGTTTAATAAATTGTACAGTATTTCAGTACTTTTTTACTTATGTTTTTGACCTCTTAATTCTTATATCTTTTGATTCAGTCTTGACTCTTAATTGTATTCAATGAAGATTCTTGTTTTTGAATAAATACAAATGTTTTTGTGGAAAGTATTCCGATTTATTTCTTTTAACAAAAATCATATTGCATATATACTGTTTCGCAGTATAATAATTCTGTTGGTGTCTACAAAAAGTTATATATATATAGAAGTGACTCGGAACACTTATCTTCGAAATATAACCATCAGTTTTCTTTCCACTAGTTTGATCCTTGAATACTTATCATGTTCTATACAAAGATGGTAAGTTAGTCAACGAGAATATGAAGGGTATTTTGGATTTACGATCATGAATACGTTCTTGGTCATTGTTATTAAAGACTTTAACTATTACCTTCACAGCCATGACTATTTGAACTCGGTCGATAATGCTTTGGCGATTGAATTGAAAGGTATTAAATTCGAGTCCCAGTTTAGATCATCAGTACTAGAATGTAGGTACATTTAGGTAATGAGGAGGATCCGATTGCTAGCAAAAATCCAACCTTACTAAAATAAACAATGTCATTCTTTTTGAAAGATCGTTGTTGTGTACACAATAGCAATACTTTTTTCTGATGTAGCGGTGACGAGCTTTTCCCACATTTCTGAAATCTATGATGCCAACAACTCAATTCTGTGAACATTGAAAATAGTGAGTTTGAGAGTTGTAATCGACTCGAGCTAAGCTTGATACATTTACCATTATCTGTTAACATTAATCTTATTACTACTTCTACTACCGTGGGATTTGCCTTGATAATTTCATCTGCCTGAGCATCTTAGATAAATACATACATGTGGATCGATGAATTCTATCCACCTTTCTAGTTAGCTGAATACCTCAAACCAATCCTTGGTACTCTCGTACATTTTTACTAATAGGATTAATAAAACCATTTATTAATTCATAGATGACTTTTCTAACCTAAGCTATTAATGAGATGTTTGTTGACAACAGATCTGTTAAACCTGGTGTGGCCCTCATTTTGTGAATGATGCATAAGTTCAATAACCAAGTCTTTAGACCAGATATAAATCACTTTTATGGCGCAAAAGATTTTGTGTCGAGTCTCGTTACATAAAGCGACTCATGTTTGGTTGGCGTTATCCTGTATTCTGACATTCGTGCATATAGAGCTTTCTGCATTAATTATTCTACTACATTAATCATATCCATACAGACGGTAGATTACAATTTACATGAATTTCACTTCGTTATAACATCTTGAATTAGTCGAATACACTGGAAAATGAGTGATTTTTACGATAAGTAACGCGTACGGGAATAGTCCTGGGATAGTGTACATCACGGCTATTGAATATTTAGAATGCCTCGAATTATATAGCTTCCTGATTTTCGTTGATATATGGAAGCTCTAACGAACAAGGAATCATCGGTAATTTTACAATTCACATTGTTACACTGACTTTTACTATCATCCGATTAGCTACTTTCGTTTTTGGTTTGCTCTTTTTGTTATGTGTCCACGTTATACAAGCAGTTGTATCATAGTTTTAATTTATTGAACATCATGCCTGGATCCCTGTCTTTTCAGTTGCTTACAGGATAACTGTTATTGAGGTGTTGCGGGGATCAATCTTCAAGCTTTCTGAAACGTACAGATCCTGCAATTTTGAGGATATTTCACAATTGTTTATAGTTCGGAATAATCGTAAGCCATCTCAAAATAACGCTGGATCTGTGCTTTAAGTGAAGAAAATAAGTATTCATTACCGGGATCGGTAGGTAACCAAGCTAGAACCATTTTTCGTAGACTATAAATACTGTTGGGATATTCAGGAAAATATCCCAAAAATTATTCTATTAAGTCTAATGCTATTCTTGGACTTGGAGATGGTATTATTCTCTTATTGGTCAGTGCTTATTTCACGTGTCATTTTCCTACTGGTCAATATTGTACAATGTTATTTTCTATTTTATGGCACAATGTGGTCTGCTTGATTAGTATATAAACAGAGTGTGTTTGAAATATAATGATTCATATATCCGAGGCTGTGACTTGTGTTCTGGACTCAACTGACTGGGCTAGGCAGGGAAGCGGGGCCAATCAGAACCCTAGGTCGTTCTATGTGTTTGTGCGTCTTTGGTCCGATCAATAATTCGCTACCCCTTAATCCGCGGCATTTTCACGTTATAACATTTACTCACTAATGAGTCTCAATATTTCACATAATTTAATACTCATTATTTATTCTATTCAATGCTAACCAGATTTTAAGAAACCCAACTACTTGTTAAGTTCTCAATTAATATTATTTCTCTCACCCTATCTGACCCATATTTATTCTGATCATGGATCTTAAATTTCACTCAACATAAATGCAGATTCAAGTTAACATTCTATATGAGTCATATCAACATTAACAATTTTATTGTATTTTGTTTAACAATCCTAAATTCACATGCTTTAAACGATGTACTTTACCCTTAACCTGGCCAATTTTCAGATTATTAATTTGGATATATGAATTGTAGAACCTGAAATGAATTTATCGAAAAGAATATTCTTCGTTCACATATTAGTCTTTTAAATAAATATGCCTTGAATTCCCAGTCTGTACTGCGAAAAAATATCTTCCGCGTGTGTTAAATACTGATCTATTGTTAGAACTACTACTCATATATTGAGCTTTTCCATGAAAGTTTGCTTCGCGGTAATCGACCTCAACGGATAAATTTTATGGTCGAAGATATATATATATATATATAATTTGGCAATTCATTGAAACTAACATATTCTGTTTGGAGACCCGAAGATATCCCAGGAAGTGAAAGCTGTTTTGATACACATTATGTTTTGTAATTACAATTGATTTATCGAATATGATAACAAATGGACAGAAAGGCGGACTTGATTCGTTGTTAAGAAAATAGAAGACAAAATTATTAATGGAATTGAAAGATTAATCAAGAATGTTCCAGAAAGTAGGTAGAAATTCATAACTATAAAAATAATTTCCACAGCATAATTAAATAAGTTGGGAAAGACAATACTAGCGAAAATCATGAAAATAAAGATAACTCATTTTGGAGATAAGGGAGTAAAAGTTGATTATTAAAATAGGGAACGATTACCGCAATAAATGTTGAATAAACGTTTCTACTCTGAAGTTTGGAATTCTCTGTGTGTAGGAATAACTCCTTTGATTCAGAGGAAGGAAATATGCATTGCATTTGACAAGTTCCTTCTTATCTTGTTTATATCTTATGCAGCCATTATATGACATGAGTGATACATCTAGGCTATCCAGGGTTAAAGAGAAAAGTGATTTCTTGTGCCAAGATTATCAGTGGTAATTAGGAAGAAAAGCAACGTTCCTGATTACTCATACATAGATGTCACTTTGAACAACTGGCAGCGTACAAACATGTGAGCAGATGAAAAACTCGGAGCCACAACAATAATGTGTTACTAGCAACTGTGATTCTAGTTTCTTAATAAGAATATCACAATATGGTGAACGTTTTTCCTACACTGTGGCAATATATTTGTTCATCCGTATAACTACCAACAAACTGGATGTTAAATCTACAAATACAGACTTTTAAGAAAAAAACCTGGTTTTTGTATTACCTTAGTGCAACTTTCATTGCAGATAATTCAGGTTGATTTTCGCTTATTTAACTGTCAAATTAGTCCAGTGTAATTTTTGTTCATTATAATATTCATTTGTACTATTTTAGTGTAAAGTTTGTTCAATGTGATAATTTTTTAAAAATTAATAATTACTCCAATTAATCTGTATATAAATAAATATATTCGAAAGATTAGTAATCTTCTCAGGTCTCTCACAATAAAGCTTCTAGACAAGCTTGAACCTCTAGCTCTGGTCAGTGGGGAAACGAAGTAGGATTTGAGAATTAATGCCTTAGTGTGCGGGCACGCTAAAAACATTATCTGTAATATGAAGATTTAAGTGGAATATTCAATTCCGAATATCATCCTCTTTCATTCGTGAAAATTTATAACAGTATGGTTCATTTTAGCTTACAAACTGAGCAAACGAATATAACGCAACGCTATTTTCCCATATGTCAATTGTTTGTAAGTACACAATTGCATAATTTCAATAGTTCGTTTTTTGTATTATTAGTGATTATTACGTGAACATTTTTAGATCACATGTATGACGCACTAGCCAGGACGATAACAAAATTAAAACTAAACAACTGATCAATATTTTGACAAGAGGTGATATATCCGGTTGACCCTATATAGCACAGTAACGACTAATAGGACCAGTTATGACTGAACATAGAAAGGTTAAATTGGAAGAAAAATCGAAATAATAAAGGATCAGGATAGAAATTATGACTTAAGTCTTTACTGTATCTAACGCTTGTTGAGAGAATACCAATTTTCAAGCACCTGTTTTGCGATTCGAACCGTTTAGAAGAAGACACACATGTCATAACTGTTTGTAAGATATCAGATAACGTATAATGATAATATTCATTAGAAAGACGAAAACAGAAAAGCTTAAGATAACAAAATGACCACTATTTATAGTCAGATAAATGATAAATTTATATCTGTTTTGTTGTACACGATTTTATAATTAATCGGAAGCTTATTCCATTATCACTTATTTCACAATTTACAACACGTTTCAATTAAGACAACTGTTTTTTTCATGCAACAAGTATTCGAATTAAATTTATAAATAATAAATCGAATAAGTTATTAAAAATGTCCGACATTCTTATGTAGCCTTTGTTATGCACAACGGTAAACTAAATGGAATTAAAGTGTTGCTTTATGTATTTAACAAACATTCTGATAATTCTGCTAATCATCAGTTTGTTTACGCTGTTTAATGCAAAGTAATTATTTTACATCTAATTTATACCGTGATGTACTAAGTGAGATAACTTGATGAAATAAGAGATTCGGATTATCAGAACAATCATACTGTGGTGCGTGCTACTTATATGGGTGTAAGTAGTACATAACGTGAGTTAAAAACGCAATGTCTGGCAGTAGAAGATCAAAAAAGGAAGAGCGACCAGAATGAAAAAACCGTAATAAGTGGGTTCCGCTG